ATACCGACGGAATACAATTTCAACCAACCGTATAAGGTCATATTTAGTAGCAGGGATGATTGGGCGAAAGGAGGGCCTCAACTAAAAAGAGGAGCCCTAGCCTGGTACACCGATGCTTCAAAGACAGTAAGATCTGGAGTAGGCATGGGCATCAGTGGACCAAATAGCCACATCAAATTGCCCCTCAGCTCGGACTTAACAATTTTCCAAGCAGAAGTTCTTGCTATAAACTTCTGCACCGCTTTGAACCTACAGAAGGGACAAAAAGGTGCATCCATAAACATTTTCACAGACAGTCGGGCCGCCTTAAAGGCAATTCAGGCCTACACGTGTGGCTCCGCACTGATCAGAGAGTGCACCAACAACCTGAGAGAACTCGCTAGGGGCAATGATGTTACCCTATGGTGGGTTCCAGGTCACAGCAACATTGAGGGCAATGAGAAGGCCGACAAGCTGGCCAAAGAGACAGCAAACACGCCCTTCATTGGACCCCAACCTGGATGTGGACTAGAAAAAAGCCATCTAAAACAAACAATCAACTTCCAGGTCACAGACAAGCGAAGAGTATGATAACTCCGTCGCAAAACAAAACCAAAGAGGTTTTATGCCTCAGCAAAGGGGATCTAAGAACGCTCTCAGGCTACCTGACCGGCCATGTGTCCCTAAAATACCACCTCTTCCAGATTGGACAAGCTGAGGATCAAACTTGTCGACTATGCAACGACGAGTCAGAAACTGCTGAACATATACTGTGCAATTGCGTCGCCAGAGGCCGTCTAAGGCACAACGTCTTCGGTAAAACTCCCCTGTTACCTACCGACATAAAGGTTCAAGACCTCAGGACAATACTAAGGTTCATTAAGGACCTACATTTGCCCTAAACCTTTGAAGGGCCAAAGTTACAATAGATCTTATAGGTCGCGGTAACGAGAGGGGCCGCTCTCCTCAGCCCGGCAGCAATAATAATAATAATAATAATAATCGGTAGTTAAACAAACTGCTTTGATGTTATTTAACTCTTGCTTTAAATTATTGTAAGCCATTTCATAGGCACCTGGTAAAAGCGTTTGAGTTATATATTTTTTTGATGGCAACTGATAATCTGGATTAATAGCAGGAATAAATTTTTTAAAGCCAACACCTACTATGGTGAATGAAGATCTTGAATAAAGAGAAGTAAGAGTGCTTCATCCATTCTCTTTTTTGAACCACTAGGATTTTTTTTCGTACATATGTTGAAAGAGTGGCCTGACCGACCTGTGACCTAGACAACTTGCATGTTGTGTTTGATCAGATATATCTTCTACATTTACTAGTGATTTAGTAAGCGATGTTGTCTCTTCAGTTAAGCTAATTGTGGGATGTTTTCGCATCAAATGTTTTCGTAAATTGTTTGATGTGGATTTATAGCTAAGTAACGCTTTACACAATTTGCATTCTGCTGTCAATTTAGTGCTATCAATATTTAAAAAAAAATTCCATTGCATTGCAGAATTTTCACTTTTCTTTCGAGACATGCTAGAACAATAGTATATAATTTATTCTTGTTTGAGTATGTTGAATCGTTTTAATATACTTAAAACATATGAAGTTAGGTTACTTACATCCAAGAAATGATGGCTGTACACCATGTATGTACAGCAATTGGTTCAGGTAAAATTATATTAATTTTGACCAATAATACAATAATTCACTTTTATTCAACTTGTAACAGCGACGACGTGCGCGACGAACAAGATGTACTGGAATTGTGTACAGTTTTTGATCTTTACAAAATTACATTATAATTTTATTATTTTATAAAAGTTGATCATACTAGACCACAATAATAATAAAGTTTTTTTTTCTTTTAAAATATTAACAAACTATGTATTAAATCAATAAAATTAAATACATTTTATAAATGCGTATTTACATTAGATTCAGTTGATTCTTCCGTATAAGAAAATCCTTCTGGTGTTGTACTGCGTCTATTTAAAGATAAATCAGATTGTTTTGTACTAGCATCACTTTTGGTAAACGATTTATTATCGCTTCCGTATTCCTCTTTGTTCGTATCAATAATGTTTTCTTTGCTTTGTGTTCGATGATGTAATTTAGTCAATTTAGCCGCATCGCTGCTAATATTGGATATTTTTCTATTTCCCGATGTAGATGAAGTATTTTTTGATGAAACAACCGATTTTCGATTATTTCGTATCGCTTGCATCTTATTGGTGATGAATGTTCTAAAACCTTGATGCCACCATGCGTAGATTATCGGATTTATAAGTCCGTTACAAAATCCTAAAATAGCCAACGGACTGGCTAAGAGGACCATAAGTGATTTACAGTACGGATCTGCTTGGTCACTACATAAAGTATACATCAAGGAAACAATAAAGTACGGACACCAAGTGATGACGAAACTCCCGGTAGTAAAAACAACGACTTTGATGGCCTTCCATTTACTTGGATTGTTTACTGGATTAGCGCTGGGTTTTTTAGGAAAAATTTTTTTAAATAAACTCTTTTCTTCTCTCGATGCCGATGGTTGATCAACTTCAACATCTGATGTATCCGATTGATTTCCGCGTCCTCGAAATATTCTTAAACCTTTATCATTTACGTCAATTTTGTTTTCATGATCGGCAATTTGAGCACGTTTTAATTGATTTATTTTTCTTATTGCGTGGTACAAGATGATTGAATATAAAATGATTACGATTAATAAAGGTATTATTCCGACACAAATGGTGAAAAATATTAAATCTTTCGGTGCAACCAAAACGAACCAGCATCTTTTTCCGCCATTTGAATCGCCGGACCATCCCATCGAAGGAAGAAAACCAACAACGCAACCTAACAATATTAAAAATGAATTAAAGTATGAATGGTTTATTAGTAGTATCAGTAATCGAGTTTTTTTTTGTAAGTAATAATCCGGTTAAATCATTATGAAAAACACCGCCCAAAATAATCAAACAACACCGGCTAAGTCTTGGGTAAATAAACTTACCAATTATCCACGTTATCAAAATTAATATTCGAGCACGTAGCGGATAAACCCATTGTTGATATTGCAAACCGTGAATAATATAAAGGAATCTGTCGATTGCTATTAAACCAACTGAATAAACCGAAGCCAAAGTACTTGAAACGATCAATCCTATAAAATAAAATGTTATGTTTTTAATTAGATTGCTTGTTCGTATAGTTTTGGACACGAGTAGTTAAATGTTTCTTATATCTTGTAATAAAATCTCTCAAATACTATTTCTTATGATTCTTTAATTAGACGTTAACTTTTCTAATTTGTAAAATATTAAATTCTTGTTTTACATGTTTCAAAGAATTAGGACATTTTATTACGTTGGAAATATTGATTTTTCAATAATCATGATATAATGTTGCAAAGTGAGCTGATGAAGCAAAGATCCTAAACATCTTTTTCGGTCTACAAAAAACTTGATGAATGAATTTTGAATGAATCACAAGTTTTGATTGTCTCCTAACAGACTATAGGTCTGTCAGGACCTATCATAATCAACTTGAATCTGGGCGTCATATTGTAGCGCCCGAATTGAGCAAAGATCGCTTGCGACCAAGGCGCAGTGATTAACATTATATCAATCTGAAACTGATCATCATATTGTGGCGCCACGGCTTTATCTGATGAAGTTGCGGTTCTTTTGTCTAATTAAGCCGAGAGTCAGTGATTAATATTAAGTTCAGAAAAGTAAACGGATAAGAATTAACTTTGAAAAACTGGAAGAATCAGAAACAAAGAAAGAAATGGCAACTAGATATAACAAAACCTATAGAAGACCAGTGATAGGCATTCAAAAGTGTACTTCATGAAGTACATCCTAAATTGGAGGAAAGAAGAAAAAACAACAAGAAATACAAAGAAATACACAAAAAGATTACAAAACTAAGAATAGATCCAGCAGGAATCGAAAAAAATAGACCGCGAAGTCCAACCGATGGTAATTCATTTGTCAGAGGTATACCACGCAATAGAACTATCAAAGACACGGATACCTCGAGATGAGAATAATATATACACTATATAACCAGATGATAGCCTCAACATCCTAACAAATTTCTTAAATAAGATATATTGGCCAGGAATTTTGCTATACGATTGGACTCGCTCTGTGTTTATTCCGATGCATAAAAAAGTGGAGCAAATAAATGTTCACAATATCGACTGATTTTGATGAGCTATACTCTGAAGATAGCCTTAAGGGCCATACATCAGGAACATCGACAAAGTCATAGAACTAGAGAGGCACAATTTAAACTAAATGTACTGCTTTAGAAATGTAGAGATCAATCACAATATGCTTTATGAATTTAGGGAGTGGACAAATGACACATCAAAATCATTAAAAATTTGTCCAGGTAGCAAATAGTATCAATAATAAGGACAGAAGATAAATTGACTAACAAAATATACATCAGAAAGGGTGTGAAATAGAGGTGATTTATCAAAACTTACAAGACTGATTCTTATGATAGCAGAGTGCATACAGGCCGGCTAAAGAAACTATCTACAAGAAATGTTAGGGGCCATATTAAGCCAAAACCCTAGAATTAGGGCACCAAAAATAGCGGACCACATCGCCTTTATGTCTAAAAACTTTGTACATACAAGAACCATTTAAAGAGTTCATGATAATGGACTTTTCAGCAGGAAAGCCCAAAACGAGCCGGTACTAAAACCAATCGACGTTCATCACTAATGATGACAAGAGTATGAAGTTTCCTTCTTTAAAGTCTTGTTCATTGATGAAAATATGGATTGATATCAATGCAAAAGTTTTTTTAGAACAAATTTGAAGCTATCAGTGTCGCTAGATTTTCCAGCAAGGCAACGTCTGCAAGCATACAGCAAACATTTTTAAAGGGTGGTTGCTATACCACCTACTATCCGTTCCATTTATCTTCACAACCACTTGAAAAAAAATTGTGGTATATTTTGTTGTAATCACTGAACATTTCTCCGTAACATATGTAAATTTGAACCGTTATGTCGAAAACTGCTGGGTAGATTTCAACGCGGCTTTAACCCAAATATGTCAAATAATCGCGTTTATCGGATACCGTTATCAGTTTATCAAAGTTATGTCTCGCTAATTTTTTTAGAGCGGTTTGAGCGAATTATAAATTAAAAAGCAGCAGTAATAACTAATAACCCATGTGGGGAGAGGAGGGTTTCGCCCAATCGGAAAAGATGATGATGAAAAGTGATGGTGTGTGTTCCAGAGATTGGATGTCGCGCCTTTATTTCTTATTTAGGAACAATAAAGGCGCGACGTCCTATCTGGAACACACACCGGCCGGATGGGAAAATATCGATCTCTATAGTAAGGGCTCCTTGACGTTTGGCACGGATAGTAGACAGCTCAACACACCTCTTCAGAACATGCATTTAAATCCGATTAAACATGTTTTGGAATGTAGATTTCAACAGTATAAAATACGAGATGCCAAATCTTTTAAATCTGAGTTACTGAAACCGTAAATCAGAAGTTCGAATTTCTGCTTTTTGTGAATTTTATCTCAACTTAGAGACCAGTTGAGAAGTATAAATAAGTGTGTCCGTATAATACAATAAGTTCTTAATTCTAATTAAGTCTTCAATAGGTTACTTAAGTGTCTTTGAGTTGTACGCGATTATTAAGCAAAATCGTCCAATTTTATCAATTTTGACAACTGGGACATGTTAGACAAATTAGACAACATTATTAGAAACTGGTAATAGATAAATATGAAATAATTCTGATTTATTGATGCATTAGAAATATTTTTTATTCATAACGCCTTTCTCCATTACTTCTAGTACTCACATTATAGTTGATTTTATTAAGAGGAATCGTCTAACATGAAATAGTTATGGATTGATTTCTTGATGCATCAGGAATGTTTTTTATTCATAATGTCTTTTTCCATCAGCTCTAGTACTTCCGTTATGGTTGATTTTATTGAGAGAAATCGTCCAAATTTGTAAATTTTGTGATTTATGTTATATCACTAGAAACTGGTGATAGATAAACATGAAATAACTATGGATTATGATTTCTCGATGCATTAGGAATATATTTTATTTAAAAGGTATTTCTCCGTCAGTTTTAGTACTTACGTTATACATACCTAATTGATTTTATTAAGAAAAATCGTCCAATTTTGACATTTTGGAGATTTATGCTATACCAATAAAAATTTGTAATAGATAACTATGAAATGATACTGTATTATGATTTGCTAATACATTAGGAATATTTTTTATTCATAACGTCTTTCTCCATCAGTTCTAGTACTCACGTTATAGTTGATTTTATTAAGAGGATTCGTGCAATTTTGACATTTTGGGGATTTATGCTATATCACTAGATACTGGTGATAGATAAACATGAAATAATTATGGATTATGATTTCTTGATGCATCAGGAATATTTTTATTCATAACGTCTTTTTCCATCAGTTCTAGTACTTACCTTATGGTTCATTTTATTAAGAGAAATCGTCCAAATTTGGAAATTTTGTGATTTATGTTATATCACTAGAAACTGGTGATAGATAAACATGAAATAACTATGGATTATGATTTTTTGATCCATTACGAATATTTTTTATTCATATCCTCTTTCTCCATCAGTTCTAGTACTCACGTTATAGTTGATTTTATTAAGAAAAATCGTCCAATTGTAACGTTTTGGGGATTTATGTTATATCACTAGAATCTGGTGATAGATAAATATGAAATAATTCTAAATTATGATTTCTTGATTTATTGGGAATACTTTTTATTCATTACATGTTTCTCCATCAGTTCTAGTACTAACGTTACAGTTGATTTTATTAAGAAAAATCGTCCAATTTTAACATTTTGTGATTTATGCTATATCACTAGAAACTGGTGATAGATAAATATGAAATAATTATAGATTATGATTTCTTGATACATTAGGAAGATTTGATGCAAAACGTTTTTCTCCATCAGTTCTAGTACTTACGTTATAGTAGATTTTATTTAGAGGAGTCCAATTTTGACATTTTGGGGAATTATGCTATATCATTAGAAACTGCTAATAGATAAATATGATATAATTCTGGATTATGATTTATTGATGCATTAGGAATATTTTTTATTCATAATGTCTTTCTCCATCAGATTTAGTAATCAGGTTATAATTGATTTTATGCTATATCACTAGAAACAGAGGAACAAAAGAACAAAAAAACAGTTATTTTGAACTATTACCTTTTACAAAGAAACATATTGTACCTGTTCCACAAATATATTAGTTTATAACATCTCTAGACTCTATGATCTAATTACTAATTTTCGCATCGAAGTTAATCGCCCTTGTTAGTTACAAATGAATTCCACAAAAATACATACAAAACTTTTTAACTTTTCGTGTCCAAAAAATTAACTACTTTTGCTAAACGTATAATTCTTAAAAATAGAAAGTTTTTGGACATACCAATTTGGAAGCAACATATTGAATGATTCCTATTCTCTTTCGGATATAATTGTCCAAACATTACTGCAAACGATGTTACCAAATCTGTCATAGCAACATTCCCAAGAAATAAATATGTTGAACGTGGTTGTTGACCTAACAAAAAAAAAAATTTATCAATTTAATCTCACTAAATAAAACATTTTATAATAATAGATGTTTAAATTCGACGTGTTTGCTTTAATAGATAAGATTGATATAATTGAATGGGAATTTTAGTATGACAAATCAATAATAGACTAAAATAAATTTATAAACAATCTGTTTGCTTACCTTTTTTAATAATTAATCCACTCGAAACTACTATAGATCCGTTCAATAAAATTGCTAAAACACCAACTGTTGGTATGAGAATGTCGTATAATAAAAGTTGCGTTTTTTGGGAAGTAGTTATGTTTGCTGTTACGTTATCCATGTTAACAGTAGTATATTCGAGTTCGTAACTGTACTCCGTAGTAGTCTCCATGATAACAACACCGATAATATTCCCCGATGAATTTGATACAGATTTCACAAAATTATCTATTTACTAATTACTTTATTGTATAATTTTACAAATTTATGTACCCGATAAAAATTTTTATTTTATTATTCATCTTTGTCTCACTTTTAACGCAAGTTAAAAATTGTAAATAAAAACACACCTTAAAAATATTAGTCACTGTCCTCCTTGATGTTCGCCAGTTGACTGTCAGTCTTTTATCGAGCATTTTCGTTCTGTTTCAATGATTCTGATTGTTATTATCAGCTTAGTTTCCCCACTTCCCGTGCATATCTTTTTGAGGAAGCGACTTTTGTAAGTTGATTTTCCTGAACAAAAATCCCAGTTTTTAAGTCACCACACATTTTATCTAACAATAAATAATTTTTTTTGATAAAAAAAACCGAAACTCACACATTGCATATTCTTAACCGCAACGAATGTTTTTAACAAACTAAAACTGGTTTTATATATTTTTTTATTCTACTCTTTGCAAGGCTCACTTTAACCTTGAAAAAGAATTTTGAGAAAGTCAAATTACACCATTGTATTAATATTAACATCTTTACATCTTAGGTAATAATAAATTTCCAGCTTATTGTATGCTAATATGAATGATAATAGTTGTTAAAACCCCAAGAAAAAATTTTAAAAAAATATTAAAAAATTATTTTTATTAATTTAGATTTAATCTTATTATTATGTTGTTCCAAATTGCTTTATTAACTTCAGTACATAATAATAAATTAGATGAAACTGCCTGTATACTTTCGCAATAAACGCGGACAAAAACACTGCTGAATGTTTACCATTAATGGGACCAATATGTTCATTTTACGCGTCACATTTACTATGCAGATGTTCGCGAAGTTCAGGAACGGATTTAGGCAGGACTTTATTAAAACTACTTTTAAATTAGATTATTTTGATCCAATCCTGCCGATATTGCATAACTCTGTTTGTAATTCGACGTGGATATCAATCAATGCATCATGATTAATTAATAATGCGATGACAGAATAAATTTGGATTGATTGAAGGGTTTGATTTAGATATGTTTTGGATTTAACTGAAAACGGAAGCACAATTATTACATTTTAATTTCTTCTTATATTAAAACGATATTTTTATCTTTGTTGTCTTTAGAGATGGCGGAATATTAAACACACCACCAAAAAGTCGATCTTTCCTTAATCTAAAACCGTATTTAAATTTACTTATTAATTTCTTTTACGGTAGAAATTTATTTTTATAGCACTTATTCTTGATTAAATGTGCTTTAAAATACTTTTTATTTCATATGAATATCTCTATTGGTTTTTGAGATACGATTTTGAAAATTTGAGTTAAAGTTATAAAAGAAGAGGACAGAACAGCCGTTTTCAAGGAATTCTGGGAGATGAGTTAGAATAAAAACCAACAAAAAGAGCTATACACAGGAAAACACGTGAAAAATGCCTTGACCTCCTCAATTATCCTCTTCCATCCATCTCTTTCTTCTGATGCTCTTTTCCAGTTTGTAGCTCCTAACATGTTCCTAGCATCCCTCTGCACCCATTTTCCCAAATGGTGTCCTACTTCCAGGCTGCCCTTGTAGTATCTTCTTTGCTTTTCTTTCATCAGGCATCATCTAGACATAACCTGCCCATGTTAACTGTTTGAGTTTTATATAACTGAGATGTAATTTTCTGTTTCTGTCACATTGGTACTTTTAGTAGAGTTCTTTCTTATAAAGAGCTCCAATTTTTAAAAATTTTCAAAATTTTCAAAATTAGCATTCCAATTGGGTTCAATACTTTAGCTTTAACAAATATTATCCCATTTTTGTGAACAGTGTATTTTCCGTTGGGATCATAAACACTATTCTTATTATTATATTCTGAGACTCGTGGTTACTCATATAGTGGTACAATTCGTGGTTCATGCGGGTTCTCCACATGTTCCCGTTCCTGACTAGTGCATTCAGTCTGGAGATGTAATAAACTAGTATTTTTTGGGAACAGGTACTATATGTTCTTGTTTCTAAAACGCAATAGTTCCAAATACCTGTTACAACTATTCCTCTGTTCCTAGTGATGTAGCAAAAATCCCTAAAATGTCAAAATTGGACGATTTTCCTTAATAAAATGAGCTATAACTGAAGTACTAAAACTGATGGAGAAAGACATTATGAATAAAAAACATACCGAATGTATTAAGAAATCATAATCCATAATTATTTCATGTTTTTCTATCACCAGCTTCTAGTGATATAGCATAAATTCCTTAAATGTTATAATTGGACATTTTTTCTTAATAAAATCAAATATAACGTAAGTACTAGAACTGGTGGAGAAAGACTTTATGAATAAAAAATATTCCTAGTGCATTGAGAAATCATAATCTATTTCATATTTACCTATGACCGAGTGGACATTTGCAAGAAATTTTGCACAAAGCTAGATTATTCTTATGGACTAGTCGCTGTCTTTGTGGAAAAAATTGAGGTCTTACCCCTGAAAGACTGTACTGGCCAGACTATACAGAGCAACAGCCTGGTATAGGAAAGTCCGACAGACTTCAGTTATCAGTAAACTTCAACGGGTAGCTGGATTGGCAATCTTTGATGCGATAAGCACAACGCCAACTCTAGCAATGGAGGTTCTGCTTGGCCTATCTTCTCTGCATTTGCATATAGAGAAAGTGGCTAGAACAACCACTTACAGATTTAAGCAATATGCTCAAAACTGTTCCGAGATGTCCTACCAATGGGCTGCGGAAGACATTATAAGCACTGATACTGAGCTACCAATGCCGTCAACTGTGGCGGGATCACTATCAGTGATTAATGTTCGGTACTAGATTGTGCTGCCTGAGCGGCAGTCCTGGATCGAAAAATTCTCTGGTTCAGGCAGATATTTGCATGTTCACAGATGGATCAAAAATGTCGGAAGGGGTCGGAGCTGGAGTATATTGCCAGACACCTCGAATTAAGCAAACCTACAGCCTGGGTACGTACTGTACTGTATTCCAGGCGGAAGTATTTGCTATTGACATGGGTGCTAAAATCCTTCTTGAAAGAGGGGTGAAGAACATGACAGTACGAATTTTCTCAGACAGTCAAGGCGCTCTCCAGACGCTGCATGTGGTGAAAACGGTGTCGGCTCTGGTTAATGATTGCAAGAGAACATTAAACACACTGAGTTGTGATACCACAGTTTCCCAGGTCACTCTGGGGTTGCTGGCAATGAAGCGGCAGATGAGCTAACACGAGAGGGCAGCGATAAAGCGTTTGTGGGACCGGAACCAGCAGTTGGTTTATCATTTGCGATGGCCAAATATAGGATTGAACTGTGGGCTGAAGAAAGACTTCGCCTACTGTGGACCAGTTCTCCTGGAATGAGACATGCTAAGGTGTTTATTAACATCGCCACTGTCAAACCCGGGAACTTTTTAGAACTTGCTCGTAGCAGCATAAAAGTTCTAATGGGTGTCTTTACTGGGCAAAGCCGATTAAAAGCACACATCAACTCGTTGGGTTTAGCCGACGATGTTGAATGCCGACTATGTCCGGAGGAAGCAGAGACGGTTGAGCATGTTTTATGCCACTGCCCTGCTGTTAACCGTATCAAATTCTCGATTTTTGGGTCGCAGTTTATCTCCTCAAAAGATCTGAATGATCTTTCACTGAGAAAGGTATTAATGTTCGTTACGAGCATTGGACTGACGGTGAAATTTGATAACGATATCTATCGGGGTATGATAGATCCTTCGGGTCGCGGCGCAAGGTTGGTTGGTCCGCCTACCCGACATGTAGTCTATTTAATGTAATGTAATGTACCTATGACCAGTTTCTAGTGATATAGCATAAATCACAAATTGTTAAAATTGGACGACTTTGCTTCATAAAATCAACTACATAAAACGTAAGTACTAGAACTGATGGAGAAAGACTTTATGAATAAAAAATATTCCTAATGCATCGAGAAATCATAATCCATAATTACTTTATGTTTATCTATCACCAGTTTCCAATGATAAAGCATAAAACACAAAATGTTTTAATTAGACGATTTATCATAATACAATCAACTATAAACAAAGTACTAAAACTGATGAAGAAAAACATTCCTAATGCATTAAGAAATCATAATCCATAATTATTTCATGTTTATCTATCACCAGTTTGTAGTGATATAGCATAAATCCCCAAAATGTCTAAATTGGACGATTTTACTTAATGAAATCAACTATGACGTAAGTACTAAAACTGATGGAGAAAAACATTATAAATAAGAAACATTCCTAATGCATCAAGAAATCCTAGTCCATAATTATTTCATGTTTATTATCCCCAGTATCTAGTGATATAGCATAAATCTCCAAAATGTCAAAATTGGACGATTTTTCTTAATAAAATCAACTATAACGTAAGTACTAGAACTGATGAAGAAAGACGTTATGAATAAAAACATTCCTAATGCATCAAGACATCATAATGCATAACTATTTAATGTTTATCTATCATCAATTTCTAGTGATATAGCATAAATCACTAAAAGTAAAAATCGGCCGATTTTCCTTAATAAAACCAACTATAGTATAAGTAGCTTTAGCAATAAAAATATTCCTGATGTATCAATAAATCATAATCCATAATTATTTCATCTTTATTTATCACCAGTTTCTAGTGATAAAGTATAAATCAGAAAATGTCAAAATTGGACGATTTTTCTTAATAAAATCAACTATAACGTAAGTGCTAAAACTGATGAAAAAAGACGTTATGAATAAAAATGTTCATAGTGCATCGAGAAATCATAATCTATTTCATATTTACCTATCACCAGTTTCTAGTGATATAGCATAAGTCACAAAATGCAAAAATTTGCCGATATTCCTTAATAAAATCAACTATAACCTAAGTACTAAAACTGATACAGAAAGATGTTTGTAATAAAAATATTCCTAATGTATCATTGAATCATAATACATAATTATTTCATATTTACCTATCACCAGTTTCTAGTGACAAAGCAAAAATCACAAATTGTCAAAATTGTACGACTTTTCTCAATAAAATCAACTGTAACCTAAGTACTAACACTGATGGAGAAAGACGTTATGAATAAAAAACATCCCTAATGCATCAATAAGTCATAATCCAGAATTATTTCGTATGTATCTATTACCAGTTTCTAGTGATATAGCATAAATCACAAATTGTCAAAATTGTACGATTTTTCTTA